GCATACGATGAAGAAGTGACACAATTTTATCATATTGTTTAAATCGTAAGAACGATTTTAATGAGAAACATTTCAGATTAGGTAAATTATCCTAGAACAGAAAAAAAAATATTGTTGATAATCTACAAGTTAAGGTCATGTATCATTACTTTGCACAAAGTAATGATTTTATACTTTTTCTATTAATAATCATAAATGACAAATCTATCGATTCAATTTTCTTATTTTGAAACATTACAAAAATAGAGTAATGAAAAAAGCAATTAAAAACTTCAGATAAAATTCCAATTATATGTCAATCATTTGAAAAATTGCTAATATAAAAAGAAATCTCGTACTATTCTTGTGCTTATGATCATTCACATATCATAATATTTAATCAATGATGAGACAGAGCTATCTCATTTTCGATTGACAATTTGTCTAATTTAGTAAAATACTATATTATTACAATTTATAACAACAAATTCTATTAATTCTTTTATTAAATTCAAATTTCTAATAAGTACAAATTCTATGTCTATGACTCTGATATATTGATATTACGACTTATCACTTATTTTTCATCTTGTCAACGTGAAACTTAATCATTCAACTTTTTATTGAATATTTCTAAGATAAATTCGAACTGCACTGACGTATCAATTATCTTTATCTCAGAAAATTATTTGTAAAAACTTACCATAGTATGAACAGTTTCAGAGGAATTGTCTATTACATAAACAATAACAGACAACATTATCAATTGCTTAAGTCGACCATCAAGTAAATAAAGACAATCATCAAATGTATTTACACTAATAGTTAAATGAGTTAGAATTGGAGAGAAAAAAGTATTCGATGGTAAATCAACGAGTGATAAACCTGGATATGACTTCCAATATGGTTGTACGATACTTAGACTTTTTAAATTCTTGAAGAAATTCAAAATGTGTGCATATACATTTATAGTATATGTTTTCGATGAATCATCAAAATTGCGTGTATCATTATTGATAAGAGTGAGATTTATAATTTGTTGTTGAAAAATAAAACGAGCTGATGATTTATCTAAAATAGAAAAAACAATGAAATGAAACTTACATACTGTGATCTATTCTATCTATAAGATTTTTATTATTTCTCAACTAATAAAATTTATATTAAATACTTA